ACTAAGTGACAACGGGAATGGTGATGGTGGGGTTTTGAACTTTGGACTACTTAAGCTTTTTTTTTTAAATTAGTCTATGTTAGGAATTGGCTAATTCAGAATAAAGACTGGGGGCAAGGTTTAGAAGTGAATATGGCAGTACACAGTTAATGGTTGAACTTGATGATCTTAGAGGTCTTTTCCAACATTAATGATTCTGAGGTTCTATGGAAAAAAAAGAATATGAATTAGTTTTGTACTTAAGGGTTGAGAAAACTTACAGTGGGGCATTGATAAATCCTAAAGTGAGGATAACTCTTAAAATATTGCCTTGTATATGGCACTGTAATATCATTTACCTTTTTAAGGTGAAAAAAACCAGTAAAATTTTTCTGGGCTTTTTGTGTCATTAAAGATATTGTAAGGAAAAAGTAACGAAAGGAAGTGGGGTTTCCCCCTCACCCTGCCCCGCTGTGTCAGAGCTTATGCCAACACATCACTTACCTATTTCTATTGCCAGGTAGACCTTTTCTGGATCATGGACCAGATCGCAGAGCGCCATCAGTGCCCGCTGCTGCGTCAGCAGCTCGGCCGACTGTAACTCCTCGTTCAGCTTGGGAAGGGCCCTCCTCCCAAACGCCAGGGCAGCTTTTGTGGGATCTATATCAGGGGGCAGGTAGGCTGAGATACGAGGCTGTGCCATCCCAAAGTCTCCTGGGAAGGATTCTCCCTATCTCTAAAAATACTCTGAAATGGCTGTACTTGGTGACTGGGCAGAGAATGTGCCAAAATGACACCTAATGACTTTGAACAGCGCTCTGTGTCCCACAGGAGATATTTTAGCACATGTGCACTGTCGGGAAGCTATGAAAGAGGCTGGACTGGTGCACAGTCTTCTGGTTTAATTCTTGACTGAACACTGGAAAGAAAAAAAAAAAGAAAGAGAAGCTTAAAATTGCGAAGTGATGGAGGTAAGGTTTTGCAAAGTACTAAAACGAAGCGGTTCAGTGCCCCGAACCAGAGAGGGCCTCAAAATAATAATACTAAAGCAAAAGCAAGCAAAGTGACATTGTTTCGAAAAGGATCTAGTTTAAACCGGCCCTTAGAATTCGGTAACGTTTGATGGAATAGGCGATGGCTGCCCTCCCCTTCCCTCAGCACGGAAAGCGGCTCTGCTGGCAGAACCATACGACCTCCAGTATTGAAAACTGCTCCGCAACAAACAAACAAACAAACAAAAAAACCCCAAACAAACCCCCATACTGCTGAGAAGTTAAAGCAACCGCTGGACAACTCCACTTCTCTCTTCAAAACAAAAGAAATGCGCTCGATAAGCGAAGGCTCCGTGTCCCCCCGTGTCCCCGGCTCCCGCCCCTCAGCCCCGGCCGGCCCCGCGCCGCTCGCGTGCCCCGGTTGCCACAGCGCCCGCTCTTTGCGTACGCGCCGCTTCGTGAATCGCGGCCGCTCAGCCGAGCACCGAGGCCGGCCCTGCGCCAACAGCGCAAGAGCCGCGCGTGGCCGTGGCTGCCGTGAGGGAGTTACGCCAATGGCGTAGTGGGGCGCTGAGCGGCGGCCCCGCAGGGCTCCGTGCGGTCCCAGTGTGAGGGCCTAGCCACCTCGCTTCTCTGCTGAACCGTGCGATCTCTCTGCTTGCCCCATTTTCGATGTAATTATAGTTAAGAAAAATTAAAGTTGAGGAAAATTCAGAGGGAACGGAGCGGTGATCAAGTTAAGGGCAGAAAGGCAGCAGGCGAGCGCCTTGAGGTGCAAGGGTCGAAGGGAGCCCAGAGAGTTTTGGACCAGGTTTTCTTTCCCAGTCTTCTCCAGAATGTCACTGCGAACAGCTAGAATGCGTAGGAAAGGTTTCTGTTATCATTATGTAGTTTCACAGATGTTCAGAGGAAGGAGCATGGGAAGAACGTGCCATTGCAATGTTGCCGGCAGAGCTTAAGGGTGTTCTGGGTTGTGAGATGTAATCTGGCATCAGGAAAAAACTCTGGATAGCTTGTACTGTAAAACAGTTGGTCTCAGTGCAGATAGTGAAATTGTCGAGATGTTTTTCATTATGTCTAACAATTAGAATAATCAAACTTTTAAAACTGGATTCTACAAATCCAATGTAATTCTGATCAGTCGGATTAAAATACATCACAGGAATAGATTCTGCTTTGTTGATCTTCAAAATCCATAAAAGAAAAATTACTGCTTTAAAAAGAGTTTTCTGGAAAGGATTCATTTTTTTTCTGCAACATGTTAGAGCAGATTATCTAAAGTAGAGTTTACTTTCCTAACTATACTTCCACTAACTATATATTTGTAAAGTTTCATCCTATTTCCATAGGAAGATTGTGAGCTTTTTTCAGGGTAGAAGGGGCAGGAGAAAATCAGAGACTTCTTTTCTCCTTCAGTGTTGACTCTGCTTTGGGCATGAGTTTTGCTGTCTTGTCCTTCACCATAGCTTGGAATACTGATGTTGTTAGTGGCTGTGACGTTAACTTATTTTATGTGTGCCTTCTGAATGCCTGCCTCAAATCCTTTGTCTATCCACAGAATCTGCTGGTGCTCCTGTTCTTGCAGCGTTGAGATAAGGAGGGTTGTGATGCCATGGAGACACTGTGTTCCCAGCCCTCCCCAGTGACTGAATCCCTTTTCAGCTCTGTGAGAAGAGCAAATCTGGATCTCAGCACCGATCATTCTCAGTATTTTTAGCAGCTTTGTATTTCTTAATTTTTTTTTCTCCTCTAATGGTGTGTCTAGTTTGTTGATTTGGTAAACTGGGATATGTTTATGCATGTGTGAGACTTGGATTAAATACAATAAATGTAAGTGAAGATGGCCTCTCAATTTTGATATATTTCTGTTTGGTTGCTTTGGTTCCTCCTGTACTTTTGCATTCACTGAGATTGTTGAACTGGGGTGTGTTTTTTTTGTAGTTTAGATTGTGAAAGAGCTCTAGGAGATGAGCAGTGAGTCAGCCCATGTACACATGACAGAAGCGAGTTAGTGTTTGAAACTCTTACCCAACTAGTGGAGTTTTTCTTTTTAGAACTATAGTTCCAACATTAATTAAGATATTAATATTGCCATACAGTCATTCAAGCTTGCCAAAAGGGTGGGAGCACACCATAAAAAAGCTCTAGGTCTCTCAAATTTTATATGGTCACAGGTAGCATAAGTAGAACTGTCCATATGGTAATAGATAAGTACTGTAATGTTGCTCTCTTTGGTGAATAACCCATCAGCTGCAAATCTGGATTCTTTGAGGGAAAGTGGCTGTTCTGGTGTGGTTGAGATCACATGGGTGTCTGAAGTGGTTTAAAAGCAATTCCTCACAAAAACATTAATTCTAAGTAGCGGACTAGCAATTTTGTTGAGCATTATTCTTATTGTAGGGTTGTGAAACACAACTGCAGGTTTTTTGTTATGTACTTGCTCGCTGTTTAAAATTACTTATCTGCATTCATTTGCCCTTTAACATTTTCAGTCTGCTGCAGGAGTGGGAGAGGCTTTTCTCCTTGTTCCAAGCCCATTCCAGCTTTATCAAAGTATGACTGTTAGAATGGGAGAGCTTCCTTTTCTCCTGAAATCTGGAAGTTTAAATCCTAATGAAATACGTAGCAAAATCTTTTAGCATCCTAAATTGCAGTCTGGCACCCTAAATGCTGCCTAAATTAATGAGTCGATTAACAATGCTTAGGTAATACAAAAGAGCTGTGTGATTTCTTATTCCTTGTTTTTGGTGTTTTGCACATTAGAAAGCAGGATTACTAATGACTAGAAAGACATTTATATAATTCAGAATGTCTCATTAGTGGCATGCGCATCCTGACTCTAGAGCTGAGATGAAATCAAGTTGAACTGCTGAAAAAATCCCTCAGGAGTTTCTGTATAATTGCCACTATGCTTAATATTAGCACCGTAAGAGTTTCCCACTCCCTTAGCTCCTTGGCAGTGGTGTTAATCCTGCTCTTTGTATCCATATATATATATATATAACTACGTTTAAAATAAAATGGAACTGCCTCCTTGTACAGGATTAGGGGCCATTTGGTTTATTGTGGAGCAGTTTCTGATCAGAGGAATCTGTGTGGCCACTAAACCCAGGGCTTTTTCTTCTAAACCCGGGGTCCTGTGTGTAGTTAAATCACTCCAACTCCGCCTTCCCGGTCTGTGGAAGAACGGGAGGAAGGGAATTGTTGCAAGCCTGTTGCTATGGCCACGTAGCAGCGGGCTGAGCTGTTTGTGTGGCTGGAATCCTGCTGCATCAGCTGCTGCACGGTGAGTCCTTCCTTACGCTTTGCTACATGATGGAAATGCTCTTATTAGAAACCTTCTTTGAACGCCACTGAGAAACTGGTAGCCTATTAAGGGTCCCCTCCCCCAGCAACCCACGAGATTTTATTGCATAACCAAATTGATGTCTCAGGTGAGACATCTAAACGCATTTGTGATTTTCATGTGAGCATTGTTCTTTTTCCATGTCAGACTATCTACTGATTTCATTCTTTCTGGGCTGATCTTGGATGAAAGTTTGATGTTGTGCCAAGATATGTGGCAGCTTCATCTTTCTTCCTTTCTCCTTCTGACCGAATGAAATCTGGTATCCCCTACCACTTATTACTGTGCTCAGGGCAGAGGCATTTGAAACAGTGATGAGCAAGATTTTTAAATTAAACACTGCAAAATCCTTTGAGGGCGAGAGTGCAAGCACTTGTGTTGAATTAAGTGAGCAATTCTCTGCCCTCTCATGGAATTAGAGTTGGCTCCTTGTCGTTTCAGCACTGTTTGCTCCTACAGCTGTGCACACTGAAGTGGCCCCTTTTACATAAGGAACAGGTTTTCTTCAACACAAATTAAGTCAAAGAACTGCCAGTTGTACCAAACAAACAAACAAAAACCCCAAACAAACAAAAAAGAAAAGATAATGAGTCTGTAAGAATTTAGTTTTTGTTTGATCATGTTGTCCCTGTACTGAGGTAATTCCTGAATCCTATGTTTCTCTTTGCATACTTTCTCTCAGGTATCTGAATTTGGAGGATGAAGTCCAGCCTAATGCATTTGGTTCCCCCAGTGAGTAGGGACAGAATAATCTCCCAGTTTCCCAAGGTAAGCATTCTTTATAGCCCACACTGATCTCTTTCCCCGTGCTAATACTGTTTTAATTTAATTTAATGTACACTTGTTGTCTTCTGTTAAAATTACAAATTGTTTAAGAATTTCTTTCGAAGTTTAATGTGACCTCAGATTCCCATTCAGTGCTGACCTCTTTAATAATAATCTTCACTTCTTCTTTTTAACCTTTACAAAAAGTGACTTACCACAAAAGTGTTATTCTAATAATATTTATCTTGTTATTTCAGCAAAACATTAATAATTACATGCTTAAAGGGCTCCAACACTGGGGGGAAACAGGAATCATAGCCTATCTTAAATATGCAAAGAAAGTCTAATTAGGAGGCTTTGGTTGAAGAATTTGAGGCAATTTTAATTTTCTGTTTGTATAGGTACCTTAGTCATACAGTAGATCAAATGTAGCAGGCACTGTAGAAACACAGACAAAAGCCCTTTGATGTCCCCAGAGAATTTTTTATTTGAAGTATAATAGAAGAGTAAAGGACAAGGAAGGACAAGTAATTACCTTTCCATTTTTTCAGTTGTTCAAAAGATCATTTTTAGGGACTTAGCATATTTTTTCCATGTTTGATCTCAGCCACATATTTTGCTTTTAATTTTATGAAAAATATAACGGGCATTTTTAGCAAATGCAAGACAAAATAAGTTTTCTTCATTTTTAACTAATTCTTTATTAAAGGTTAATAATAAAAACAGTGCTTCACACTTATTGAAAAGACTTCCTAGTAATAATGGCTTGCTGGTGGTGTGCTGCCAGCTGTGTTTGTGCTGTGTGTCCCTGTTCTCTGTTGCAGTGGTACACACCTGAGGCCTGTCTGCAGCTTAAAGAGCACTTCCATGCCCGGGTCAGGACTGCTTGTCAGCAGAGCACTGCAGCAGCAGGGTGAGTTTGGAATAAACCAGGTATGCAAGGAAGGAAGTATTTTAAGTTCTTGATAGCCTGCTTTCTTCACTGGCTTTTCCTCCCTCGTTCCTCATGCTCCTCACTCCAGTGTGTTTCAAGGCAGCCAAGCCCATGCACGGGGCAGTTCTCTGACCTGTTGGACAGTAAATTAGAATAAAGTGCCTTTTCTTCCTGTAAGTGTCAAAGATACTTTTACTGCTGGCATAAGTAGCACTGAAAAAATGGTGGAGCAGTTTAGCAACAAATAGTTTTTCAGCACCTTTGAATTAAATGCTTCAAAGCATTTACTTGGTTCAAAAGATCCAGCAGATCTAGCCTTGTTGTGTTCTCTGTTGGTGTTCCAAAGGGGCAGATAATAAAGGCTTTGGAGGGATAGAAACACAGCAGTTCTATGTTTCTTGAAACAGCTAAGAATCTAGTTTTAGTCTTTTTTGAAGTTTATATGCTGAGAAGTTCTCTTAAACAATTCCTTAAAACTGGAGCAAAATTGGGGTAAATACATAGCACTGGAAAATCCAAATAAGCTGTTTTATACCCTAGTAATAATCTTGATGTTATTTTCTTCCACCACTTTCTCTCTCTCTCAGAATTGTTACCATTACTGATTTAATCTCCTGAAGCAAGGCAAGAAAGCTAAACTATGTTAAAAATCATCCCTTTTCAATTAAAATAAATAGCTGTACATTTTAGTGATAAATGCTTCTGTGCTTCAGTGTGAGGGATCTTCCATAAAGTGGAGTTTCTATGAATACTGACAATTAGCTCACTAATCTTTCCAGTCTGGAGTTGCTGATTACCCTAAGACTTGTCATGATATACATCTTTAAATGTAACATTTTATTCATTTCGCTTGGAAGTCTTATTAAAAAAAAAAAATTAAGCTAAAACATGTCACCTTGCTTTTTTAGGAGCACAGTCACTATCATAGTTTCATGTAAATTTTTTACTCCCTTTATTGAACTGAGGCATTTTCCCCTTCCAATATCAGCATCTATTTGTTTTGAGGTTTGGGTTTTGGTTTTTTGTTTGTTTGTGGTTTTGTTTTGTTTTTTAATTTCCAGAGTAACTTATTCTGGTAACAGAATACAGCTAAAAAGCTTTACATTTTGGCTTTGTGAATAAAATTAAGCACTTTTCTGTCACTGCTCTCTTGACGTGATTATTGTTCGGTCATTTAAATAATTTTTTGGTGGAATGGGGGTAAAAGAGCAGCCAGAGTGTTTTGTACAGTACTTGTAAAGCTTGACAGGAGTAACCATTATCTTCCTTTTCCATTATCCCAAGTAATAAAATATTTCTTTGTCATTTGGAAAGTTAGCCTGAGAAATTCAGTAGCTAATGGCTGTAGTTATGACTCTCTGGGTATTCCATCAGTGTGTTAAATTGTCTAATCTGGGGAGTTTTTTTCCCCAGTACAAATTACTGGAACAGGAACACACACCTCTAAACCATCACTTACTTTTTTGCTTTTCCCTGAAGGTCATTGATTTTACTCAGTATTTTCTCAGACACAGTTAATCAGGCAGAGACATTTCAGCAGCACAAGGGCCTGTGGGCACTCAGTTATTGTTGGCTGGCACCAAAAACACCTTCTTTTTTTGGAAATATTAGTCATGTGGCTTGTCAATCAAGATTTAGACTATTTAGAACAGGTAACTTGGAATCAGCATCCCATGGAAGTCTGATGTAACCAGAAATAGTATTTAGTAGATTAATTCCTTTGTTTAAAAAGCCATTCCTTGATAGAAAAGAACATTAAACCTCGTAAGCCATTTTTGCCAATCCAAGTTTAGGTCAGCAAAGACACTCACATTCACTTACCCACCCGTGTCTCCTGAAAGGTACACTCAGCTTCAATTTGAAGAATGCAGGCTGAGTCACCTAAAGCCCATCTGCTGCATCCTGGGGGAGGACCCAGAGCAAAGAGGATTATTTACATGAAGCCAGCTTCAGATTAATATTATTCCAGGTAGTCAGAAAATGTATTGGCTCTAACCTTGTGGGTTATTTCTCACAGAGACACATTCTGGCAGTGAGTTATTTTATTATCAGCAATTTTTTGTTTCTGCGCTTAGGGTTTTATTTGTACTGGTAAAGTCAAGGAGAAACTTGTGATTAATTTTAATGCAAAGGATGTGGATACTCTATGGTCTTATGTGTAAACTGTTAAATGTATGTCACCTGTAGTCAAAGCAGTTTTAATTGAATAGAAGCTATGTCCCACTGGATTAAAATCAAGAAAAAAATAGAGAGAGTAACAAAGAGACCATTTCTGCTCCAGAAGGGTTTATTTTTTTGGTGACCTTCTTTCTTGCCATCTAAGTCTCTGATCATGCAGCACAGTGGCACTTGGGGAAACTTAAGTCACAGCTACATGTGCTCATCACTTGCAATTTAAGGATCTAAATCAGAATTTTTAGAGAGAGATTGTTGAAATTGCAACTAAGACCATGTAACATTTTCAAATATTTATAACAGGCTGAAAATATCCAAAGTGGTGGTGGTAGGAGACCTGTATGTTGGGAAAACCAGTCTTATCAACAGGTACAGTAAATCTCAGCAGATGGTTTGATTCTTCTGTTTCTCAAGTCAGTGTTGTAACATTTCCTTGCTGTCCACTTGGAGTAGCACTTCATGAACCTGAACTTCATGGGCTTGTTATTAAATGAAAGACAAAACTATGTCTGTGGTATGAGAAAGGCTTAATACACAACACAGGAGGTCACGTCCAAGCACTTCAATCAGTTTATATTCTGAAGTGCTTTTAGCCAGTCAAATATGATACATCGTTTTCTCAAGACATCCAGTCTAGAGGCTAAACAACTGGAAAAAAAAATCCGTGTCTGAGTCTTGGTTTCATGTTTTCTCCTTAGTTTCAGGGCTGTTCACTGAACCCTTTTCAGCCATCCTTGTGTGAGGCCCTGTACTCATTTCTACAGCTGCAAGGCTGTAGTAGAAGCTCGAGCAGAAGGACCTTACTTGATTCTTTACTGAATGTTAAAAACAGCTCTTATGCTTTTTGTATTTAAGTCCAGTGAACAGATCACTGAATTTCTGTAGCTTATTATCACTGTGACAACTTTTTGTCTGTGCTTGCAGCATTGTCATCGTTATTATTTCTTCAAGTTCTTAAGTAGAACTTAAACTCATTGATTAATCATTTGAGTCATTACTTGTGACCCAAAATATATTCCCTTGTAAGTAAAACTATAACATACTGTACATTTCTTGAGAGCCCAAAAATGTTCTGACTCTCTTCTCATTCTGAGAGCTTTCTAGGTGTTTGTGCTTCCTAATTTGTTATACAGTATCCCCTATTTTTTGATCAGTGTATTGGTGTTTTCATATATGCTCCTACAATATACAGCCAATCCATAGTTAATTATTTTCTTCATAATTTACCCTAGACAGTGTTAGTTTTGCAGTTATTTGTAGTTGTGTCTTGCTAGTATTTCATCCCCTTTTTTTCTAAATGCAGATTTTGTAAAGATAATTTTGACCGAGACTACAAGGCAACCATTGGAGTGGATTTTGAAATTGAACGTTTTGAGATCATTGGAATCCCATATAATCTCCAGATGTAAGTTGAACCAACCTGGGTAAGCACTCCTCAGAGTACAGTCTCAGCAGAGCTTGTATCGCTGCAGGCTCCAGTGGAATAAAGATTTTTTGAAAATAATAAAATTGCCCAAAGAATAATGTGATCTGAAAAAAAGATTCTGTACCTGAAGCTGCAGTTTTAGTAAAAATTTTACTGTCTTGGATTTCTCATCCCTGAAAAACGTTACAAGCTTGCCAATGACAATTCATCTCGGATGTCTTGAGCCATTGCAGTCAAGTTCTGACTCGACTTTCATGAAAGAGAAGTGGGAGCTTTTGGCACAACCTTTGTCCAGTTCTAGGGTTACCCCAGTCTGTCATTTGGGTTTAAAAGGCATGGTGAGCACTGAACTTGGCTTTACTGGGAGTTTTATTCCTGCAACCGTTGAAATGAATGTTAAGGTGTCCAGTGATTTCAACATCTCTTAGTTAGGGACTAATTTATTATCCCCAAGTCATAGAAAGACTGGAGTGATTTTATTAGCATGTGAACCTGTTATCTTTGATTTTCAGCTTAGTTTATCAGACTGGTGAGAATCCTGCCCTTCTTTTACCTGCTTTGGGTCTGCTGAAGGGAGTCCTTTGGTATTTTTCTGTAGAGGGCATTATGGAATTATCTGTACTGTGTGTAGAGCAGAAATAAGGTGCTTTGCATGAGGTATTTTAGTGCATGAATCTTAAAAACCTTTTCACTTAGGAACACCTTTTTTCAGTGACATCACTGATGTGAATAGATGGCTCGTTGTATTTATTGAAAAATACTTAGGAATCCATTTCCCACTCATTTCAGTGCAACTGTGTTTTGGAAAATTCTGCCAGGCCCTTGAGTCCCTCTAAAAATGTACATTCATGTATCAGTGTTTTGCAAAGGGAAGCAATAAGGTTCATGAGCTACTGAACATCAGGTTGCATCATGTGCCAAGTCCTCAGGAGCTGGGTGGAACATTTCCATATGATAAGCACTAGTGCCCCCTCTTGCTGAGAGATTTCCATACAAGATAAATTTGCAAGTATCTGTGAGTGGCAGTACTGGGCTGCCACAACCCCAAACCTCTGCAGTGCTGGCAGTACCTGAGGGCACTGCATATCATGCTCATTAATAAAAAGCACTGCCTTGATTTTATTTAATGGTGTCATTAGTACCTGGTAGACTGAGCTGTAGGTCTCTAATTTGCAGAGTATGGACAGATATCACATCTAGCAGCTGCAAAACTCTAACATGGGTTAATACATGATTTATTTAGTGTTAGCACAGGAAATGTACAAAATTAGATTGCCCCAGCAATCCATGCAAATGGCATAGATGGAAAAAAAATGTTTTGAGGAAAAGGTATTACCATGCAGAATAAAAATATTTGAATTGTGTCTCCAAAATGAACAGTACTAAAAAAAATAATAAAAGAGGTTAAAACAGAGTTCACATCTTCATTAAATAATAGAGCTTTACTATATTTCTATCAGGAGTTAATGAATAACATGTTCCAGATGGTGACACTTCTCTGGTATCACATTCTTCTCCGCCTTGTACCAGTCTGCTGCTTCATTACCATGTTTACTCAGGTTACACTGGGTTTCATTAACCTGAAATTTCTTTTTTCCCCCCATTGCACAGATGGGACACAGCAGGTCAGGAAAAGTTCAAGTGCATTGCATCTGCTTACTACCGAGGAGCAGAGGGTGAGAACGATATTAATTTGATCCTGGCTGTGTCAGGAGAGTGTATTTTACACAGAAACGTATATCCCTATATGCTCCTTGGAAAGGTACCTGTGGACACAGTGGGGTGGGATGGATTGTCTGTTACTGCAGGGAAGAAGGGATGAAGAAATTTGTGAGTTGGTGTGTTGTCACATCTCCAAGCTCTGAATGTTTTGATGATGCAGTGATAAAAATTGGCACCTGTGTCTAGGGGGAAAAGAATTTGGGTTTGGGTGAGATTAATGTTGGAGTTAGAAGTGGGTATTTCTGGCATTTCCCTTGGTAAGAGACAATTTCTGCAGTAATTAGTGGTCCCAAAACAAAAGGGTTAATAGCACTGTAGACTGCAGACTACAGCTAAAGATGAAATAAGGTTGAAGACTAAGGACTTAAGTCTTGCTGGGTGCTAGAAAAGGAAAAGGAATGAGCAAATGGGTAGTCTTCCATCTCTTGTGTGTTAAATCTGTTCTTGCACCTTATATGTAAACATTCCCTCTGTTTAACAAGATGGGTTGGAGAGAATTCTGATACACCTTCTAACTTAATTACTTTTTATTCTGTTCTTGTCTTTTATTGCAGTTATAATAACAGTGTTTGATCTGGCTGATATCCAAACTTTGGATCACACCAAGTAAGTTTCTGCATTTTGGCTTATCCTTGAAAGGTTTTACAGCAGGTTTAATTACCTTCCATATGTAGGTGTTGAGAACTTGCTGGATCATGAGTGTATTTTCTCTTGAGCTAAGAAATGAAAAACGACAGTCACTTGTTTGGATTGCATAGGGTGGGATTCTTCTGAAGAAAATGCAGGGTATAGATAGATTTGAACTACTTACACTTGACTTCCTTTAAAGTCAGTGCAGAGAAAAAGGCACTCCAGTCAAAGCTTGATCCTTCCAAAACTAGACATGCAGGAAGAGATGAAGTGCACCCCAAAAACATTCTTTTTTTACTTCATTTGCTATAAATAGAATAACAGGCTGCCATCTAAGGTAAATGGAGAAAAGGATGGGATGCCTCTCATGCGTAACGTCTCAAGAGTCTCTTGTTTTTAAGGCACACTGATATCCCCAAATTATTTCCTTTCTCTAGTTTCTGAAGTGATTCTGTGGGGAGGCAGGCTGTCAAGAAGAGGAGAGAAAATTAACAACTCAAAGTACTCATAGATATAGCTTAACTGACTGGTTCAGGTACTTGTAGTGGTTTGGTTACAGCAGCATGTTAATTATTGTGAATAAACTCATTCTGCTTTCAGTGCAGGATGCAAAACCCTACGTGGATCTATGATCCACACCACTGTCACAGTTCAGAGCATTTGTATTTCTAACGTGCTGTTTTGACTGTAATGCAGGTATAGGCTTCTTTACAACCTGTTCTCTGTCTTATTTGAATGTGTGCTAGGGTACCTAGCTCATTTACATAGGACTTTGTAAAATAATATATATATTAGTGTCTCTGCTTGGCTGAAAGTAATTGAAGCCTGTGAACCTGATTTCCCACACACGCACACACTCCCTTCCCTCCTTGACTTGTGTTGGATGACTCAAGAGAAACTTGATTGCCAGAGTAACAAAAATATAAAAGCTTGTGAGACAAGAATCATACAGCCTTCATAGGGAGCTGTTTTATAATGCTGAATAGATTATTTCACTCTTCTTTATTCCCTTTTTTATCTAATCTGCTATGTGGTTCAGACCTTTTCCTTTTTTTCCTGCTTTCTTGTTCCTTATCTCGATCAAAACTTTGCCCCCTCCTTAATACCAAGAAATACCCTCTCTGGGTGCTAAAATTATTGTTGAATTTTTACTCTGAATGTGGATATCTTTGAACTTTGTTAGTGGAAGACATTGAATTCAAAGGAGTTGGAATAGCTCCTGATCTCTTTCTGTCTGGAAAAAAAGGCTTTTGATCCTCTCCCATAAGTTCATCCTCTCACTTTTCTTGTGACCCCGTTATCTGTTACTTTCTCCTGCATTCCTCATTCCCTCTGACTGATTCTGTCATTTCTCTTTTGTATTTCAGACAGTGGTTAGAAGATGCACTGAGGGAGAATGAACCAGATTCCAGTTTCGTCTTTCTAGTCGGAACAAAAAAAGATTTGGTGGTGAGTAAATTGAATGCAGATAAGGAAACCAGATTTTCCCTAGTTCCTCTCCTGATTTCCCTTACAAGTTGTACACAATGTTGTTAAGATAAAGACCTTGAGCAAAAACCTTAAGTAAATAGGACAGTGTACTTGGAAACAATTTAAGAAGAGGCTTTCTGAAAAAATGGGTAGATATGGAATATTTCTTGCAGGGTATTTTTCAAGCAGATACAAACATACCTAATGAAGGTTTTTTTGACTTGTTTTTTTAGGGACAGTGTGTTCATTGTTCAGGAACAGGGAAGATTTCTTCCTTAGTTGAATATGACATCATTGTCAGAAGAACAGGATATAATGCACTCTCTCTATACCATTCTCAGTCTTGTGTTTCTCTTCCAACAGCTATCAATACTTAGTTTTTAAAGATGTCAAAACAAACTTGTTTCATTTGCTGTTTAATTGATTCTTTTTTATTTCCACCCAGCTGCCACAATATCACTTGAGCACTTTATTTTTACCCTTCAGTGAAAATAAGTCCCAGAAAACTGCCCGTCTGTCAGTTTTTCTGGTACTTTGTGTAGTTTATGCTGCTTTTTCATAGTTGCACTAAAAGCTAAACGTGCCAGACCTGTGAGGACACACATCTGAAGCCTTGTCTAAGCTAGAATGCCTTACTGGAAGCTTGTTTCTGGTTTTAGAATGTGGTGCTTTCAACTGAAAGGGAGACAAGAGCAAAGCAAAGAATTTTAGGTTCTAGGTATTACTTCAGTGCTAAGCCAGTGTCTTCCCAACTGGATTCATTCTACTTATCATCTTGATGTCACATAATCATTTCCAAATTTTTAGATTTCTTTTCAACTTTGCAGGGGTTCTCCCCCGTAAGACAATCTACAGAAAACTGTACAAAGATGACTGGTGTCACCCATCCCAAATAGGCTAGAAATGGAAAGGAAATCGCTCCCTACTGCTTATATATTGGTACAATGATTACTCTGTTACCCCTTACTTGTTTGAGGGTTGTGGGAGGTGAGTGCAGACTCCCTGTTGAAAGCAGCACTAACTCTGTGAATGTTCTTGCACAAGTTCTAAGGCGAGGTCAGAAAGGCCGCTGAGAAACTGGAAGTTTCACAGGACAGGTGCAAGCGGCACCTCTGTGCAGTTACCAGCCCCGATGCACTTCAGTGTTGCAGTTATTCCATGTTGTTTCCCCAGTCAGATGCTGTGTGTGGAAGGACAGAGCTGGATGCCATCCGCTTCGCCAAGGAGATGCAGGCAGAGTATTGGTCGGTCTCAGCCAAAACAGGTAAATTACTGCAAAACGTGTGAAAATAACCACCAGAGCTGATGTTGAGGTGGGAGGAACTTATTATCACACCCCCTCCCCCCCAATTCCCATTTTCTTTTCATTGTTCTTGCATTTTGTTGCTATTAGAAACTTCAGGTTTATTAATGATCAATTTTTATTTGAGCGTTTTTATTTGTGCTCGCACTTTCATGTTGGCAGAAAGAAGTAATTGAGCTGCTTTGCAGTGTCTGAGCATGTTTAATTCATAGATGGTTACATAAATACACATGTGCACCACTATTCAACACTTGCAATGGAAAAAGATTATACCACAAACTGAATTCTCTCTGTTGCTGGCTAAAAATAAAGGTGCAGCATAGGGTACAGTATTCCACAGTAAGAAAATTAGAAATTCTCTCTGCAGTGATCAGAATGGAAGACAGATTGATGGAAAAGCCTATCCTGTCCCAGTCTTGAGCAATGAGCTGTTCACAGATGTGCTTGTTATGCTTGATCATCTGTTGATGTGCAGTTGTAAAAACACATAATTTCTGTTTTGCTCCCCAGGGGAAAATGTCAAAGAATTCTTTTCCCGAGTTGCCGCCTTGGCCTTTGAACAGTCCATGATAAAGGAGCTGGAGAACACTCCTGGGCCCATGGCCCAAATTGGGGCAGGAAATCTCATCAGTATGTGGAGTTTTGTTTTTTGTGTCTATTTTCCTTGTTTACTGTCTGAAGGACTGGGGAGATTTTTCAAGCATTAAAAGCCAGTTTCAAACACCTGCAAGCCTATTGATGTCACTGTCTCCCCAGGTTCTACCCTACAGGAGTGACTGGGCCTGCATCCAGCTTTTGTTACCCTTAGTACTGGATGGTATAATTTCCTGTGAATTGATTTTATAACTTTCCTGTTTCCACAGACCTGGAGAACACTATGGAAATCCCAGAAGGCAACACTCAAGTCAGCCCGAGCTGCTGCTAATTGTCAACTGTTCCTTCAAGCACCCCACTTCCCTGCAGCACCGCACAGAGCACCTGCAGCAATGCAAGCTCTCAGGCCAGAAATACAAAGCTTTAATTTGGGAAACAAGAGAGGGAAAACTTGGCCAAACTTTCTTTCTGAGAGTTCTCTTGCTGCTGCAGGCTCCTTGTGCTGGGTGGTACAATTGTTACATAAACCTTTCTCTGGGTAGTCGAAACATAACATCCTTAATGCAAGGAGACATTGCCAGTGCCATGTGCTCACCTGTCTGCCAGAAATGCTTGTAGTCAAAAATTATGTCATTTTAGTATGTTGTTCTCTGATAATTCTCTAGAAGTCTTAGATAGTGAAGTTGCATTCCCATGGGGGCAGGAAACAAGGGCAGTTCAGAATTAAGGGGTGCTACCCATATGTTTTTGCCTTTTAAAGTCATAGTATAAAGTAACTCTGATTTACTTTTATGCATTCCAAGTATTTTGAAACTATTTCAATATAAATCTTTTTAAGTGTCAGGTATGGAAGTACAGAAATGCAGACTGCATAGTTTCCACTGTGGTTTCTCCATCCAGGAAAAATCCGTATAATCTTTCATTTTCCACTTGAGAATCAGAGCCCAGTATTTAAGTATTTCCAAGCCTAGGAGAAGCCCAGGTAGGAACTTTGTTGTTTTATCCCATCTGTCTAATATTTTGAAAATCTTCCCAGATAAGAATGCTTTTCTTTTCCATTCACTTGAATAAGTCTCACAAGTGCATAATATGGAACACATATCTTCTGAAGAGGATGCAGATTCCTTCTCTGCATTGATCTTCATGAATATTGTCTACATACAGTTCTACTTTGTTGCTAAGAGTAATTCACAGATTTCACAAAGCATTCGTAGTTGGAAGGGACCCACAAGGATCATGGAGTCCAACTCTTCAGCGAATGGCCCATATGTGGATTGAACCCACAACCTTGGTGTTATTGCACCCTGCTCTAACAACTTGGGTTTTGTGGGGTTTTTTTGGTAATAATATAAAACTATTTTGGATCCATATGTGGTGTCAGTCATGAACCTGATCATCCCTGTCTGAGGTGGGATTTCAGAGCCAGCAAGGTTGGATTCCATACTGAGGTAAACCAGATTTAAAGTGCTCTTTTTTATTTTGGACAGCAATGACTGATACCCAAAGACATTCCTTTTTCAAAGGTTATTCCTGCTAACAAATGCCATTGCCAGAAATTACTGCAACAAATACTTGGCCAGTGTTTGTGAAATTGCATTAGTATGCTCGATTATGCTAATTAGGTTTAAACAAAAGAAGGGGAAGGGAAATACACTCATTTTATTTCCCTCTAAGTTTTCTAATAGCTCACTGAATTCTAACATTCAGTTGTATCTAGTTAATGATGTTTCTCTAAAGATAAATGAGATACTATAAATCTCTTGCTTGCAGTAAACTGTTCAAATGTATGTCCCTTCAAAATCACCGTAAGCACTCAAATCATAGAGGTAACAAAGGAATCAAGGTGGGATAAAAGAAACACTCTCTAGGAATCTATCAGCAGCTTAGAACTCCCATGTTTTCTAAGATTTATATTCAGCACTTCATGCTATGCTGGCATTAAAAAAATATACTATTTTAAATTTCATAGTGCAATAATTTTGAGAGAAAGAAGAAAACTTTTTTGAATGGTTACAAGTTACAGTTTCTTAAGGTATTAATTCAATCACTGCAGAAACAACAGTATCTGGAATACTAATTATAACAGGCCCTTTCAGATTTGAGCTGCTCAGAAATAAGGGCGTTTGTTAATAAAGCAATGCATCAAACTGAAAATACTCTGGATTCTTTGACATTTTCCCCAATTTGTTTGATAAGACATGGGGAAAAAGTGAAGAAAAGATGACGTAAACATCTTTTTAATTACTTTTATTTCCTTGTGACGTAAGTTACAGCAGCTTCACAGAAAATGATGAATAGAGATCTAAGAACTCTCTGTCTGTTTTATTGGACAATCCTCACTTTGGCAATTGTGCTGAGTGTTGGCAAAGACACAAATGTAGCATTTGGTGGAAAAAATGAATCTGTGAGGGTATGTAAGGAGCTATTTATCCAAATGTGTGATATTTTGACCTTCTGGTGTTCCGTGGATTAGTCCAGCTCCAAAGACTGCTCCGCAAGGATGACAAATGCACACTCTGCCTGTGCCCTGTGCTGGGCTGAGCGGGCAGTGTGGACATGGTCTCGTGTCTGCTGAGCCTGAATGTGAGCAGGAAAGCTGATTCCCTCTGCTGCAGCAAGTCATGTTGGCTGGTCCTGGTGCTGGGTGTCAGGGCTGACATGCTGGTTTAGTGTTTACACTGCAAAATGACTCGGTAACAAATCCCAGAAAAAAATCAGCGTTTTTTTCTCTCCCTCAAGAAATATATGTCCTAAGGGGTTCTTTTGTTGATGAGCTTGGTTATTGTTATAGAATCACAGAGATGCAATCTCTTCAACAACACAGTCATGGTGCATGGAAAATCAACTGGGACAGGTTTTCTTCTCGTGCTTTAGTACACTGCTTGATGTCATTACTGTTTAGTATCATCTGGAGCTCCAGAAAGTTCAAATACAGACGCAGTCATTAACTGGGACTTGACAATGGCCTGATTCCATCTCTATTATATGATGGATGATTTGAGACTGGGGCTTTTAGTCATTGGTGTATTGGTTTTTGTTTGGTTGGGGTTTTTTTCTCTTGGTTGGTCAGTTTTAAGGGGGATTTTTTTAGTGCTACTGAGATTTCTCCTTCAACGAACTCAGAATTAATAACTGATCATCTAAAATGAATCTTGGCTCCTGTTGCAAACAATGGGTTGCTTAGGAAAGCACAAAGGAAACTAACATAGAAAATAAATATAAATTTACAAGTTCTATCTGGTCAATGTTTTATCTACCTATGTTAATCCATTCTATCAGCAAATTATTGGCTTTGAAGAAGCCTTAATATTATGGAAAACAGTGTTGATGAAACTGTATTAACTGTAACCACAGGTGGGCTTAACCACCATCTCTGTACCAGCTGAAATCCCCACAGTGATCATGGCAACAGTCTCAGCTCCAGCTTCCTTGTGGAACTTCCAGGTGAGAAACTGAAGAAGTGAAATTTGGATTAAGTCCAAAGCAAAGGTAAAGAGCAATTGGAATAATCAGTTTCCCCCAGGAAGAACTAATGTTTCTTGTTTTAATAAGTAGAAGCTTAATGTGTTAATGGTTTCCTGGTTTTATAAAGGTGCATTTGTGCTGAGCAAAACTACTGGCAATGGATTAAAAGCTATTTAAGAAAGTCAACAAAGTTAATTTCTTACTATAAAAGCCCTTTAATCGTGTTGTTTTGCCTTTTGAGTGATTATTTGACACTCAGGATATTATGATTTATAGTCACATAGGTCATGTGATTCAGATCTTTCTGAATCCTATTGGGTCCCAGCTCGGGTTTGCCTTGTGGTGTGACCGAAGTCCATTCTTCACAAATAAATTTGTCCCCTTTGTGCCTTTTCAGGTTTTCACCAACAGTTAGAGGTTGTTCTTGTTCAATGCACTGGTGAGTGAATGCTCTGAACCCCACTCTTTATCACATCCTCTGAGCAGGAGAGTTAAAATGAAGTGTTTGGTGAGTTGTAGGAGAATCTGCATTTGCTAGTGGAGAGGGTTGCTCAGTTTCCTGTGGTTTTGGGCAGAAGGTTGTTTTCACAGCGAGAAATTGCCATTCTCTGAATTTGAAGGAGAGTTCCTTTATTTCTGGGTACATGGAATGATTTATGCTGCAGGGAACATCTCAAGACTTGCCAGCCTTGTCAAACTCTCCCAGGGTTCTGCTTTGTGTTTACAAAAATCCAATTGCTTAGTTTCAGCCACAGATTAATCAGACATCATATTTTAATTCTCATTTTAAAAGCTCAGCTTATGTCCTACAGTTACTATTTTTTTTTTTTTTCTTACAAAACCTCCTGTTCTTTCGCGTGGGATCAGGCTGAAGGACAGTTCCTAAGTGACAGCTCCAGAGCTTTTTCCTAAGCCAAGCGGCTCCTCTTCCCACAAGAGGGAGCCCGACGGTCACCGCAGGATGAGATCCGTGCCGGCTCGGAAGGGCTGCGCGATCTCTCGCGGGCCAGCAGAGGGGATGTGCCGGGCACTCTGTCCGTAGTTTAGCTCCTCACCGCAGGATTCTCACTCTCAAATGACAGGTATGTGTCTGCCACCATAGTCTTAATGAAATTTTGTATCCTATTAAAATGCTGAATGAGTAGAGTGTCGGTAAAAATTCAGAGAGCCTTTCAGTTCCCAGAGGAAAATCTTTGTGGTACCTCAATAGGTAAAGAGGGTGTCGTTGTTTAATAGTATTATTCACTTAGAAGTTAAGTGTGCACATAGAAATCCCTCATCTAACTCATAGGAATTCTTACTCCCTCCAGAAAGGGCACCAATGTGGACCCAAATAAAAAAGAGACATAAAAACCCAGGATGGTGAGACCTCAGTGAGAGCACTGGATGAATTCTGAACACACCCCTGGGATGTGACAAACCTACCATTGTCAGGACCATGCCAGTGCAGTCTGAAGCTTCAGATTCCAGAAATAAATTGCATGTCAGGATTTCATTGGTCCAGCTGGCACTAAACAAACAAATAGTATCAATGGGGAAAAGGAATTTTATTTTATTTCTGTGATAGAGATTTCTTGAAAGATTTATAGAGTTATTTATTGAACATATAGGTTTTATTATGATTTAGATTATAATCTATTTTCCATATAGGTCAGCCAAAGCCTGTTATGTGTTAAAAGCTGAGGAAACAAGTGCAGGAAAAGAGGTTAAAGCCAGGAAACAAAAACTGAGAGGGATGAACTATGCAAAATGGAATGATTAGCCATTTGTGATATGTCTGAAAATACCCAAAAATATTTTGTTTGGCACATAACAATGCATGAAGAGAAAAACTTGGATTTTGAAACAGCACATATCTCAAAGGTAAGAGAGCTACTCCTGTGGAGTTGTGCTTTTCATTCTTGTGGGATTTTATTAGTTCTTGTTGGGGCTGTATCCCACCCTCTTTTCTAACAAGTACCAGAAAAGATCCCCCTCACTGCAAATATGAAAGCAGCAGGTTTATGGAGGATATGAGATGTACATATCTCACCTTTTCCTGTCATCCAAACAGGCAAGATGGAACTTCAGTTGTATTTGTTACCATTTTTTTCAGAAATTGAATTAATACATGGAAGAGACACAGGGTTTAAGCAAGATCATGATCTGTGATTTCAGGAGTAGTAATACTCAGCAGCCAGACCTTTGTTTAAATCATTTGCCACCCTTCACCCAGAAATGGGGCGTGGGACTCTGAGTTATCTGGACTAGGATAATACACAGGACAAAAGTGAGACTAATGCAGAACAAAGCAAGCCTTATTGCTGGTATCATAGTTATTTTGCCCATCTCAGAAATCCAGGTTGGCATTTATTGGCAAGGAAGGCAGGATTGAGGGAATGACAAGCCTGCTTCCAAGCAGCACTCACGCGAGTGGGGGAAAACGTGACCTTTGAAGGTGAGCTGCATCAGTGCCTGCGGGGAGAGCCTTGCTGCGAACACGAGAGAGAGCAAGAGCACAGAGACGTGCTGGTGTTTATACATAATATATGAGGGCACGGCTGTATGGACCAGGATGGATACCTCCCTTTGCACTGTGTGCATGCCGTGCTCTTGCCTAGGCTTGGGCATAGCCATGTCCCTATGATGCTATGATGCCCAGGCCTGTGGCAGCAGGCGCGACTTCGCACGTCCCCGCCTTTGTCTCGGGGGCAGCCGCGGGGAGGGGGCAGGTCCCCCCGCCAGCCCCGCGGCCCGGCCGGCCCGGCTGCCCCTTTAAGAGGCCCCAGCGCCGAGTCAGTGCCTGCGCCGGGTCCTTCCCTCTCCTCCCCTTCCGCAGCGCCGGGGCCGGGCCGCGATGGGCCGCCGCGGGCAGCGGCTGCCGCGCCGCCGGGGGGGCTCCCGCGGGGCCGCGGGGCGCCCGGGCACGGCCGGGTAGCGCCGGAGCTCGGGCCGGACCCGCCGCCGCAGCGCCGCTCCGAGCCGAGCGTGTGCGCCCGGAGCGCAGCACAATAGCCGGGAGGAGGAGACAGGGAAAGGGGCAGGGGGAAAGGAGGAGAGAGAAAGAGAAAGCACAACACGGGGGCTGGCGAGGCAGGACGGAGCCGGAGGAGGACGGAGCGTGGCCGCGCCGAGGACCGTGCCTAGGACGGCGGCGGCAGGAGGTGGGTGGGGGGCGATATTTACCTTCCCTCCCCCGCCCCGAGCCTGCTCCTTTGTCCACCCACTTTGAAGTGCTCGGGGATCGCCGCGGTGGGAGCATTGTTGTTCGCCAGCAAGCGATCAGTCATGCCGGGGAGAGAGTAGCGGGGGGACGCGGGGCTGGGGCCGGCACAGGCTGAAGGAGACGGGGAGGAGAGAGGATTGCGAGAGAGGATCGCCGCTCGCCTCCCAGTGCCCCTGCATGGACCGTGAAAGAGACGCGCTGAGTTGACCCCGCCGGAGCTGTTTCTGCTTCTACATGTGAGATCCGGTTGGTTTTTTCTCTCCACCTCTCTCTCTCCAGTCTCCTTCTCGTATTCTCCAGTTACTCCCGTATGCAAAATGGTGGACCCTGTGGGGTTTGTGGAGGCTTGGAAAGCACAATTTGCAGACTCTGAGCCTCCTAAAATGGAGCTGAAATCTGTGGGAGATATTGAACAGGAGCTGGAGATGTGCAAAGCATCTATCCGGAGACTGGAGATGGAGGTGAACAAGGAGAGGTTCCGCATGATTTACCTGCAGACTCTTCTGGCAAAGGAGAAAAAAAGCTATGATAGACAGAGATGGGGTTTTAAACGTGTTTCTCAGTTGCCTGAAGGGGGTGCAGAGCAGCAGATCCAGGACCTGCATCATCATCAGTCTGCTGACCAAGACGAATATGAAAAAAGCAAGTCACACCACGGAGAGGAAAAGTTCAAACCCAGGATCCCCTCTCTGCGGAAGCTGTCTACCCAGAGTGATGGGTCAGACCTGTCCCCTTTGGACAGCCCCCATCACGGAGAGGGAGAGCAGGACAGGTCTAAGTACTATGGGGAGGAGAAACTGAAGAGAGTTGTAGAAGATATGGAGAATCGCTGTGATACAGATGGCTCTCCTTCAAAACACAGGTCGGCTTCCACTCGTAGGCTGGCGGGATCTGCTGAGAAGGAGGGATCATTTGAACCTAAGGAGAGAGGGAACAGCACCAGTGTGGCAGCCCTGAGGTCCAATTTTGAGAGAATGAAAAAGGTTAACTCTCATTCTTCTGGAGATAACAAGGATGTTGTTGAAAAGCCCTTTTACGTGAACATGGAGTATCATCATGAGAAGGGTCTAGTAAAGGTCAACGACAAAGATGTTTCTGATAAAATAAGCTCCCTTGGCAGCCAAGCCATGCAAATGGAACGCAAGAAGTCTTTGCACTCCCTCCCTTCCAACATGGTACCCAGCTTCAGCGAGTTCCAGAGGCCTGCCTACAGGGGAAGGTCCTCGGAGAGCAGCTTTGGCTATGATGGAGAATATGAGGATGCCGAACTGAACCCCAAGTTTCTCAAAGACAACCTGATTAATGCCAATGGCAGCAACCGCTCACCTTGGCAGCCCATGGACTTCCAGCCGTATCAAAGTATCTATGTTGGTGGAATGATGGGGGAAGGAGAAGGAAAAGGACCTATTCTGCGAAATCAGGGCACAACTGACCAGGAGAAACATCTCACATGGCCCAGGAGATCTTATTCCCCCAGGAGTTTTGAAGACATTGGAGGAGGATATACTCCTGACTGTAGCTCTAATGAGAACCTTACTTCCAGTGAGGAAGACTTCTCCTCAGGACAGTCCAGCCATGTCTCCCCCAGCCCCACCACTTACCGCATGTACCGGGATAAAAGCCGTTCTCCCTCCCAGAACTCTCAGCAGTCCTTTGACAGCAGCAGTCCCCCAACCCCCCAGTCTCAAAAACGGCACAGGCAGCAGCAGGTCATTGTGTCTGAGGCTACTATTGTGGGTGTACGAAAAACAGGACAGATCTGGCCAAGTGACGGAGATTTGCCCTCTGGGAGGTGTCACCAGGACAGCTGTTTCCATGGGGATACAGGTGCGTACCAGCTTTTGTTGAGTCTTTTAAATGTATAGAGCGGGGAATGGCATTGTGGAAGAGAATGGGGTACCCTGGGTGAATTGCTGTGAGCAGGCAACTGTTTCGTGTGAGAAATCTGTGTTTATTTTGTAGTTCTGCTGTTTCAGGAAGGTCCTACAGAAGTAAACGTCAGGCTGCATTTTAGGAAGTCACCCTGGATTCCCAGAAGGGTCAATTCAGGCCTCTCTGGAGAGAATCAGTGGAGTCCCATGTTAATCAGTTCTTAAAGTTTCAGTGTGAGCACTGAGGTGAAAGGGGGTCAGTACTTCAGCAGGTATTCACCAGCTGTGGTAAATTCACCGCCAGATCATTCCCTCCCTCGTGTTCGTGCACTAAGGAGTAGTTAAACTGTGCCTCTGAGGTTGTAGTGTGCCAACATGCTACAACTTGAGGGTTTTGCTGGAGCTTTCCCGATAATGATGCTGCTCCCACAATCTTGTTTTTTCCTGTCTGTATTAATTGGAGTGCTAGTTTCTCGTTCTGTCTGGTGTCAGCCTTCAATTAGAGCTGATTGGAGGTGATGGTTGTGCAACCCTGTTCTTGAAGCTTTCTGCTATCACTGAGTGAAGGAAGAACTTGGAATATTAGGAAGCCCTGAGGGAAAGATGTTAATTTAATTTCAGCAGAATCTCAATTTTTGTTTGGGGAAGAATGGGCAGTGTTTGAACCCGTTCCTATGTAAGCCATTCAGGCATGCAGGTGTGTGTGGAATCACAGTGAATTTGTAGTTGTTGGAAGAGGCATACAAGGAACTATGTTAATTCAGATAGATTTATTGCATGTATGTGGACATCTGAATCTATTTAGCAAGACAAGGCACACAATGTAAATAGTATCTTGTGTTAACACCAGTAGTCATTTATGCAGTAAATGAAAATCAAATCTAGGAATGAAAAAAAAATAAGAATGTTTGTTTTGACACATTTCTGTAATTCTAAATCTGTGAGTTCTCTTGTGAGTTTTCTTTATCTCTTTGAATCTCTCATTTTAATGTTATTTGTCAATGGGACCAAATTCCTGAAGTAGCAGGTGAACTGAGAGGCCTGTCAAATGCTGTCACTGCCTCAGGTTATGTGAGTTTGCTATATTAGAATAGTAACTTTACTGGTAGACGATGCCTGGTTCTACTCTCCCTGCCAGTTGTTCTTGCCAGCAGTACTTTTGGAAGCAACAACAGAGGGAGAACTCTTTCCTGCCCCACCACCATCCTCATATCCCGTTGTGCTTTTGGAAGGCTGGATGGTTGTGGTGGATGTTCAGTGTACATGGAAGCTCTGCAGCCTGTCCTCACACCCTTCCTTGCCAGGCTGGATGCCCACCCCTGTTCTCTCTCGGCATTCTTGCTGGGTTTGCTGCCCGTTTGTGTCTGAGGGGTGGCACTTGCAGTGCAGGGGAGAGGCTGGGTCTTGTGCTCCTTTGAACTGCGCTGCAGCCATCTGTCTCTGCTCTTGTTTACTGATGCTCTTTAGATGACTGGGAAGCCTCCTGGCAGTTTCAGTTTTTGCAGAAGGAAACAAAGGGGCAAAAAATAACAACGGTTGATAAAGCTTGAGGATAAATTCAGCTTTGAGAAAGGCAATAGATTATTTTAAATAACTTAGCTGGGGTGCAGTGATAAAAAAAAAGGGGGCTGCTGAGAAGTCAAAACACTTGCAATTCCTGGTTGTGCTGCAAAGCTTTGTGTTGTATTTCTGAGGATGACCACACATTGCAGGCAAGGACAGAGTGTAACGGATCCACCTTCTGCTTTCCTCAGCAAAGGGGTAACATGGCAAGCTTAGCAGGAACTTTCACCAGATGGCTAATCAGTGCTGTCTTGCACATTAGCTGGTGGCAACTTTTTACTTAACCAAAAAGGCTTATGCCTTCGGGAGGACTGTGTTTCTGATTAATTCCTACTGGGCATCATTTTATATGAATTTTACTTCTTTCCTGATTAGGAAGAATTTTGATCTGAAACCAGCTGGCAGACTCTCTTTCATAAAACAAACAAAAGGCCTGAGAGACCCCTGTGTGATCAGCTGGCTGGCTCCCGTTCCTAACTCCCATGCTCTCTGAGGATTGTTCTCCATCACCACATGACACAAAAGCAGTTCACAGATCCAGACAGCTTTCCCCACACCTGTGGTTCAGTCACTGGTTCTGCCAGGCTTCCCTCAAGTTTTGCTTGAACAGAGAGTGCGAGTTCAAATGACAGGTTCTGGCCAGCCTTAATGTTGATTAGCATCAAGTGGGGTTTGCTCAACAGTGTTTGACTTCTCTGTGCGTTCAGACTTCTGTGTTCTTCCTGGCTTTGCCTTTGATGGCTCTTCCCGTAATAATGCTGACTGTGCTGTGGGCAGGTGCAATGTGACATTTCTGTCTGGATCTGCCATCCCAATGCACCTTCAGTTTGGCCGGCAGTGCTCTTCTGTCCAAATTATTTCATGAGTTCACAGACCAGTGTTGATTTCCTTTTGTATTACAAAAAAGGACCTAACTCTCAAGTGAATGAGACCCAAGCCAAAATTTGAGTCTGGGTTCTTGGAGATGGGTTATCAGACCAAGGTAGGAGGCTTTCAGTTTTTTCCAAGGAGCAGAATCAGAGCTTCAGGGTTGAGATTCAGTAATAGCTGTACTTTCTATTAAATGTACTTAATAGAGCCTGGGCAGAGATATTTATATTGGGATTAATTATGCATCACTAATTTCCTGTAGTGGGAATAGAAAAAAAAAAAATCACATCTTAACTTTGCATTAAGCTTGAATATCTTTACTATGATTGTGAAGGAAGAACAAAATTTTTAAAATTCAGCCTACTGTTGAACAGACACCAGGAGAGGCTCTTGTGCATTTGTGCTGATAGTCAAGGGGAAATTTGCACAGTGCTGTTATGGAGTGATGGGGCCTCACAGTGGCCTTGGCTGGCTCAGTTTTTAACTAATGGCAGTTTGCTAATGAAGGAACACACTGGAGTTGTTGCTTGGCTTTGTAGCTTGCTTCATACAATCAGCGCATGCTGTCTCAGCTCTGTGTGTGTGAGGTGATTTTATCTCATAACAACATGGAAACTATCTGGACTCCACATAAATAATATTTACCTGCCCAGCTGCTTCCCTCAAGGTGCCCCAGTAGTGACTTCTGTTCACGTGAGGGGACTTGATGGTGCTGTGAGTGTTCTGCCAGGCTCTCTCTCTAGACAGCCACCGACAGCCACAGTGCTCAGTGCAAGGTCAGTTTGGGATATGTGTCATTTCATTCCACTGGGAGTGAAGTTTGACTTATTTTAGCTGCTACTAAGCGTGGGAGTGCTGAATGTCCCTTTCTGGAGAGCATGGAACATTCTCTGTATTTTTAGTGAGTTTCATGTAGACAGAGAAAAGAGTGGTGAAATTTATGCGTGTGAAGCTGCAAACCTCAAAATTCCTGTTATCTCAGCTGAGCAGAATGCCATTTTAAAGCTTCTACTTACCTAGAGCTGTAGATTCTTCAGTTTCTGTGTACCTTAAATGCCTGACCAGATAAGCAAGCATCTACATTTCCTGCTGTCAAGCTAACCCTTGACACTACTTATTTGCAAAGCCCCAAGAAAGCATGCAGTGTTTTGTCATGGAAGGGCCTTGTTCTGTACTAGTTTCTGCAAGGGTCTGTTCCTGAGTTACTTGAATCTTCTGAGGTCATGGG